CGTTTAGAAGTGGATTCGAACCACTGACACAAGGATTTTCAGTCCTCTGCTCTACCAAAACAGCTATCTAAACCACTTTCCAAAAATCTGATAAATAGAAGGAAAGGAGATCATAAAGATACGCGGACGACTTGACTATAGTATAGGTCGGTCAAACAAAAACAACGCGCAACGGGCTCTCCGCTCCTAGTCACTAAATAGTGCTATTCTGTCCTCCGGGGGACTCCACCAAGAGGTTCTTTCTCTCACGTAATTTCGCCCGCCCGTTCCACTTCCGTGCCGGATTCGAACCCATGATACAATCTTCTTGTATGTCGATTTAGCAAACCAATGCCTTAAGCCACTCAGCCATACCTCCAAGTTGTTGATCGGAATTTGATGTGCCGGGTTTGGTTGGTTGCCCGAAGGGCTATCTGATCCGATCAACTGCGTAAGCCGTAGCGCGCTAGCGCGCGTACTCTTCCTCTATCTATGGGCGAGACTCTATCCAGATCTATGGATCTCCCCAGCGTCAAAGCGAGACCCCATCAAAATCTGCCACTTGTTGGGCGACGCCTTCTTTTCTATGAGCACCCCACCATTGAATGATGAACTTTGCCAGTCTTCGCCTCCGACCCGACCAGGGGAGAACACAGGGTCAAGCCAAGCCCTTACCCGCCTGAATTTAATTAATATCTCCTTCGTCTGGTCGAGAAGGGAGAAAGCCCGGGGAACTGGACTGTTACTCTTCTATTACATTACGGAGAAGTCCATTCTCGTCATGATCGATCCACGTCCTATCGTAGTGTCCGGGAACCTGGCTTGCTTGGCTTACTAACGCGAAGGAATTTTTCGTTGATTGCACGAGCTAGCCAGTCAATCCAGCCGTTTTCTTGCTTGGTGCGCTAGTGCGCCTGACTTATAAGTAGGCGTTTTCTTCGCTGGGTTAGATTCCCGATCCACTCATCTTCAAACAGGGGTTCATCATCCAGAAAGATGCACCGCACTCCAGACCAAACAATACCCGCCAGAGATTGAGCTCGACTCGAGAGATGGAGACATAAGGGTGCGATAAAGTCCTAGGTGGGTGAGTCTCTCGATATTGAGTCGACCCCGCCCCGAGCAAGCATCGAAGGAATTAATCCAATGGGTAGGAATCAAGGAATTGAACCCAGATAAAGCCTGTTACCTGTTGCCGATCCGATTTCCGATTCAGAGGATTAACCAGAAGAGAAGGAAGTTAGGGCCGGCTGAAAGAAGGACAGCGGGGAAAGTTCTCTAACCCCTTAGAATCCGTCTTTTTTGGGCGGAAAGGGCGAGTAGAACGGGCGCGAAAACTAAACCTTCCTTCTTCGGCCTAAACCGAGATGGCTCCCTTAGCATCTTGTTTTGCTCTGTATGATTTTAAGCAATAAGGGATTGTTAAGCTCACATTGAGCCATAATGCACCGGAACCTGTAGATTCTAGCCTAACAACAACAACAACTTCGGTACCTCTGGATCTTCACGTTTGATCTTTCATAGGCGAATGGGTCTGGATTAGGCATCCTAATTTTCCTTTTTTTTGGATTGATCATAACAGCTATTGGAAGCCATTCTTCTGCCTCTATGGGTTTTGTTGTTAAGTTGACCCATGTAATCGTAAACTAGCGTGAGGAATTTAGGGGCGGATCCTTTCCGGTCAATCACGAGCAGCGAACTCCCTAAACCGTAGAATCTCATGAATGTAGCGGAACGAGGTCGGCCTTATCCCCACACTTTCTCTAATGCTTGGACTGGGAAGATATCGGCTCAAGGCAGCAACCGCCAGGCTTGCCGAAGGGTCCCATTCATCAACGGCCGAGAAGGAAACATTAACTTATGACTCCGAAATCGATCCACGAGGCGGACTGCCCTTCTTACTTGGTTTGAGTTATATTATGGCCTATTAACGATACTCAGGCAGAAGGAAAAAGAAAGGGGTTTACAGTCGAAACCACATAAAACAAAGCTTAACCTTAGGGGCCCTATGAAACGTACGGGCGAACCGAAGCTCAAGCCCGCACTACACCAGTCCCATTCAGCTACGCAACAAGCCAAAAAATGCACGCCTAGCGCGCTCCTCACACGCAGGACCTCAGAGAAGCGCCGCGAGCGGGGGAGCGGAATTGAGAGCGAAAGATGAGTGAAAGAATGCCAGACAGGCGAGAGAATGACTACATTAACTGAACATAGAACTGAGGTAATGATTTAACAAGGCATCATCGTTCAGTCCAATTACTCTACTCAGAGTGACTACAAGTCAGTTTGAGGCTTAGTAAGGAAGCCTTTTTCATCACCCCAATCTATCTTCCTTCTATGATATTCTTTGGCTTTGGGACTAAGTATAGGCTATGGGGCTTTGATTGTTTCATCTCATTCGGGATTCATCCCGTCCTACGAAACAAGGCTTTTTTCCAGGGTATGGATTCAGAAATCAAACCTCAGCAGGATGCTTGACTTCGCATTCTGATTTTGGTAGGCAGTACGCGGCGATCTTATAGAAAGCGCCAAAAAGACTCTTTCCTATAATAAAAAATGAAATAGCACACTTCAGAGCCGGGCCAGGATTTCGCCCTCCAGTCAGCTTTTGTGCGCTCCGCACGAACGGACCGATCAAAGATGTGAGTGACGTCGATCACACCCGGAGGGTACAAGGTTAGCCTATGAGCTGCGGGACAAGATGCGAAACTTTAGTGAGGAAGAGGCTCAAAGATCTTGAAAAAAGAACGAGTGAGGACGTGTCCAATCTCTCTTGCGAGGAACCAAGCTCAAAGCTCAAAAAGAATAAGGCAGCACACTCTTTGTCGGAACGAAGGCGAACTGGCTTTGATGACAAGATGCTTCTGAATAGTCCTACAAGGCTGATAGACAGCAAGACTAAAGAAAAGAGGGGATATGTAAGAACCTATTAGTATGGATCCTAGGGAATCACGAACCAAGGGAGGAATCTCACAAGCCAATTGTCTTGAACATTGTCTTTGCAGAAACTCTCGCCCTAATTAGAGGGAGAATATTGAACACAAACATCTCGCCGGTCGGAGGGGACATCCTAATATTATACAAGAAGGTGAAGAAAAAAAAAATTCCCACGGAAAGGCTAGTTACAAAGCTCAAAGCGCTTGATCCTTCGCCCCTTGGCCCAACCCACCTGCTTATCTCAAAAGGGGCACCTTCTTTCAAGGAAATAGGGTAGCAGATCGTCTGCTATTTAAGATTCCAATTCAAAGTTGGTAAGCTGCTACCAAACCGGATTCTCACCTGCTTTAAGGTCCCACATTGACTCTCCAATCGGATATCTCTTTTCGGCTTAGTCGTGCAATTAGTCGTGATAAGAGGAAGTCCCCGGATCTACCATATCTAGTTCCAATGTAAGCTGGTGAAATGCTACCTTCAATACAACTGACCAGGGCAATCCCGCCTCATCGGATGCTTATTGGGATGCCACTATCAAAGATTCTTCACCAGTGACAAATCGGATTCGTTCAAAGAGAATCCTTCAACGACAACAGCTACCACTCACTGAACACTATCTATATCAGGATTTCTTTTTCCATCCATGGCAAAGGATCAAACTTGAAATTTTTCCGGCTTAGCGAGTGTGGGAAGAGCCCTTTAAAAAAAAATTAATTTTTGCAGGTGAGCCAGATGCCGAGTCTACCTCTGCCAAGTTCCTCTTTCTAGGAGGATTTTATCAAAAAATGTCAGCTGGATTGGTAAGTTGCTTTTGAGTTCGATTTTCATTGCTCCGAATCTTCTTTGTTCGATTCTGCCTCTGCTCCCTCACTCACAGAATCCCAACCGAATTCTGACTCCTTGCTTCCCATTCTCTTGGCTACGACACTAGTTCTATTCAAACTGCTAACTATGATTCGGATTTTCTGCCAGACTTCAGGTTCCCTCTCCGTTCTAAAAGCAAAAAAGGCAAGTAGAATCCCCAGGTAAGACCTAATAATAAAAATGAGCTTAGCACAAGCACTAAGTAAGAAAGCTACCTTGTTTAGATCCAGACTGACTTAGCTTGAAGCATGGCTTGCCGTTTCGGGGCTCGATGCTGCCTTCCATTCTTTGTTCGTTCTTTTGAGATGTTATTTGATCAGGAATGGGACTGAGAGATCCCGCCCAGATTCCGTCTTCATTGACCGAGTAGCTGTGGACAAAGACCAAAGGAACGGGACCAATCTCACTCATCCGGATCCCCATTGGTGAGAAGACTTACTGTCATCCCAGAAAGTGATCAAGGAACGGAAAATAGCATTCAAGATCGAAAGCAGTTGATGATCGGTTACCATGACGTGACACGCTATCGACACCATTAAAATATTTGTGGGAAGATCGAAACTTCCATAGCCTGAACTGGTCAAGTCTGATCCTCTTTCTTGGTGTTCCTTCACAGACCCACCATGTAACCTTATTTTATTACGACGTATCTTTCTTGTCTTGATTGAATACATCATTGAAACAATCATGCGAGGGGTCTACTACGTCAATTGCGTAACGAGTTGGACAGAGAGACGCAGGAGCAGCACCATGTGAGATTCTCATCCCGACGTGAAGCTCAATCTCTATTCATTAGTTCAGCGCTAAGATGTAGAACTGGATCATATATGGGTCAAGAGATCTTCAATCTGGAATTCTATTCTTTTTCTCCAACCTTCGATGATCCTCCTGCAGGCAAATCATCGAAGTCAAGAAAAGAAGAAGTGATGGGCCAGGCAGCAATGCTAGGTCCGAGGAAGAGACCTGTAGGTTTGGAAAGCCTGTCGATCCATCCTGATTAACTTACGCAATTTCTGACTAGAGAGAGGACTTAGATCGGAGAGGAGCAGCTCTTTTCTTTTTAACAGAAAGCAGTGATGAATGGGACAGAGCTGCTACAATAGCTTCAAGCTGGAGCTGCTTTATGTATTGGAGCAGAGGTGGCAGTTCAGACAGCAGCAGGAGCAGGACCAGCAACTAGGGTTGTTTTGTTCACAGAGCAGCCGTCTTTCCCTCTCAAGCGGAGAAGACTGGTTACATGTCCGATCCGGTAGGGATGGTTCTTCTCGACAGATTAAGCTACTTACTATAGTTAGG